CGATAGATGGCGTTGCTGTTAATAAGGATTCTATAAAGCTTTTTAGGTAGATAACTATAAAGTACCTAACATAGTTTTCAATGAACTAGAATAGCATTCTTGAATCAATGTATAATAGTATCGGATTTCAAACGTATTACGTACGTATAATGTAAATAACGTTATTTTCACATATTAAGTTATTTTTAGTATATTCAATAATTAAATGAATGAAGGTATTACAACATTAATCAATTCTCACATGGACAACAACGGTTGATTCCGTTTCTGTATTTGAATATTATATCAAAGTTATAGAAAGGTGTTAATGATGGCTATGATATTATATCAAATGTTTATACCTACTTGTTCAATTGTTTCTATACATGTTTATAAACCTTTATTTTAGTGTAAGAAATGTATAAAAGACAAATTTATTATAACAAATTATATAATATATATTAATTTAATTTTGTTTACTCGAACAATTAAAATAAAACAAAATATTGTAGATAATTAGAGACACGGTGGGCCTCCATTCTTTCTTTGGATATCTTTCTAGCATCCAGAAGAAGCGATACGATTCCAAGGGATTGGAACTGTGTGTCTGCGTCTGTTTCCTTTTTTATTATAACTAACTTTATAACTTTCCTTTTTTATAACTAAGATGTTTTCGAACAGAAAATGGGTGAAATGACAGTCAAGCAGTATTCGCGCAATATTAAAAATGCATACAATTATGGGAACTTATCAGTTGAAATAAAATTTTTCATTGTAAGAATTTTGATTTTGATTATATGTTATCAGCATGTATAACGGATGCGAAATGAAAATAACTTGAGCTTGTCATCAATTATTATAAAAACATATTACATAGTATTCATGATTGTTGTTAAAATTAAAACGAAATAAAAGACGAAAGGAGAATAGAATTATGTTTGAATTTTGGTATAAATATAACGTCTGGACGTACGACAGCAGAGTTCAGTGAGTTCGGACCATTGAGAAATGTGATTATGAAGAACCTTTGAGAAATACAAGGAAATTTAGGAAAATCGAAGTTTTACTTTAAAATATCATGAAATGTACTGAAAGAAATGACATTAGTAACATCAGCGAGGCTGGCGTATCTGTCTTTGAAAACAACGAGTTTATATTAAATTCCATATATACCATTCAATGCTCTTTTAAAGGATATGCAAAGAGGAAAAAATGTCTCTAAATTTATGAAACATTAGCGTTCACACCTAAATGGTGTTGCATTTAAAAGCTACTATTTTAATGCTATAGCTCTATTTGTGAAAAAAATATAGAAAACGTTATTGGACATATTTCTAGAGATTTTACTAATACCTACTTGTTGAGATTACCCAGGAATATATTAATTGAGTGTGACGAGCACTGGTTAGCTTCGTCACATTACTTCCCGTTAAATAACATGTCATGTTTACTGTTAGTTATTCAATAATTTATGTTAATTCTATAATGTGCGAAGATTAGAAATGACAAACTGTCAAGGCAACATATATATGTATCTAAACGTTATGTTTGAAGCATGGAATTATACAAATTGCTTGAAAGAATAGCACCTTCATAGAATATCATAAAATAGCTCATAGTTTTTGGTTGTGATTTTATTTATTGTTGTCCTAAGAAACTGGAATATTAATTTAAGTTTTGCTAAAATTTAAAAATCGAATGAAAAAAAATTTTTTTGTCAAGTTGAAATCATTGAAAATTGTATGTGAGTCATAATCTAATCTGTTTATAATAGCTGCACCAAGAGGCAACACTCAAACAATCATTACTATTGAAGTACGTAGCTATTATATTTGACGTCATTTGTGGATATTCATTATTATTCTATCCATATTGCAGTAAGACTCGTTAGCTCAATAGGTTAGAGCGCCGACATAACTTGGGAAATCGGAGGGTGGAGGTTCAAATCCTTCGCGAGTCAATTTTTTCCTTGTTTTTACTTATTTCTTATACGTTAGAGTTAAAAATAATCGATTGGAAACTTAAGAACGAAATTAGGAATTAGATTAAGTAGTCATTGTCAAAGAAGAATATTTTATAATTTTAATTTAATGGTTTTTGTATGTTAAATCTGAAGAAGAAATATAAAAAAATGTCAAATAGTAAGTCTAAGTAAATTATTTGTATGATTCGTAATTGAATAGTAATAAAAAGTATAATAAGCCTTCGCAAAGGAGTTTTGGAACATTTTTTTTTGTTCGTAAGTGAGAGCGTTAGTTAAATGGTACACATCCTAATCATGATATGGTCTTAACTCTTCGTATAGAGTTAGAAAATGTCCTGTTATGTATCGCTGTTGATTGAGAAAATGTATATAGAATGCCTTTTGCGTTTTTTTAACAATTTACTACAACAAGTCTTACCAAAATAAAAACCGAAGAGTGATTTTAAGCCGTTTTACTTTAATATGTATTAATATAACTCAGTAATTGACGTTCTAACTAAAGCCTATGTTACTTTTTAATTTTTAACACAAGCTCTGTTTACTGAACTGTATAAATGACAATAATTATCGACTGTAAAATTTAATACAAGAATGTAATTAAATATAAAATAGTATATAAAACACTCTTGAACAGGATAATGAGCATAAAAGGTTTTGCGGTTTGAGGCTCCCCTTACCAAACATACTCCCTGAAGACATTGTTGGCGGTTGCAGTCTAAACAAGTTTCGTTACTGTTAAGCGTTTACAATAGAATTAACGAGAATTCAATTTAATTGTACTTTTAATGTCAACGTCAGTAATATATTCTCCATTAATTTTTTTTTAGTTATTCTGGTACAACTTCTAGGTGTTTTGATTATCTTTTAATGATGAAAAATTGTTAATTTTGTATATAATAGTTGAAAATAAAATTATATGATAGTACTTTGAAAACCTTTTTGTCGTTATTTTCCTTGTAGGGAATCTATTTATATTAAACGAATTTTGAATGAACCTTATGAAATTTGGCTTCACAATGATGTCTATTTTCCCTCCCTTTCTCCGAGGAGGGATGATTATAGTTCATTTCCTACTTTTGAATCTGTATTTCTTTTGTGTTCTGATAAACTAAATTAAAGACTTATTTTAAACTAGCTTTCCGTCCGCAGCTTCGCCCGCGTGGAATTCGGTTATATCGCGTTTCCAAGAGAACCTTTCAAAAGTCTGGGATAAAAACTATTCTATGTTCTTTCTCAAGGTCAATTTTATCTCTGTGCCAAATTTTATTAAAATCAGTTCAGTGGTTTAGGCGTGAAAGCGTAACAGACAGACAGACAGACAGAGTTACTTTCGCATTTATAATATTAGTAGGGATGAGGTTATTGGAAATTTTATTTAAATTCATCAATTTCGGGAATGAAAAATAAGTTCCATAATAGCATAACTTGACTTATAGTTTTATGACTAATTGAGTTAGAGGGTCGGCGATGTCCGGTAGGCTATAACGACCGGGCAGTGAATAGATCTGAAATTGACGTAGTGTATGGAGTACTCGAAACCAATGATATATTACTTTGTGGTAGCAAACTACTGTATGTTTTATATCATTGTTATAAAACACATATTTTATATAAACTTTAGACTTTATAAAGAATCTTTTATCAATTTATTTACTCACTGATTTTAATACTTCTGTTTGAGCTTCACATTTAATTCATGGGAATTCATCCTGAAATCTATACTAATATTATAAAGCTGAAGAGTTTGTTTGTTTGTTTGTTCGAAAGCGCTAATCTCCGAAACTACTGGTTCGAATTGAATAATTCTTTTTGTGTTGCATAGTCCAATTATCGAGGAAGGCTGTGGGCTATATAACATCACGCTACGACCAATAGGAGCAAAGATATAGTGGTAAATGTGTAAAAAACGGGAGAAATTATTTCATCTTTGAAGCCTTCCGTTGCGTGCGCCGTGAAAACGGTTCAATATACACAAAAAATATGTATTAAAGAATAATAGCTCTTTTAATGATCTAAAAAACAGTCCGCGATAGTATATGTCTATCTTTTAAGATTAACTCACAAAAACCGTTTTTATGGTACCTAATTTGGTCGAAATAATTTTATAAAATCTTTATTCAAATAAACAAATAAATATGTTGTTGGTTAAGAGTACTTCATTGTGAATAAAAAAAAAATAGGTTTTATCCTGAAAATTCAACGGGAACTGGACCATTCCGAAGAACGGGAACTATGTGGGAAGAACCAAAAATCTGCCGGAAGTCACTATTCCACTCAGACGAAGTCGCGGTAAAAGCTAGTGTATTAACAAAGGAAATACAGATTATGTTAACTGGGTTAAAAATAAATATTCATCTACTCTACAAAAACCTTCCAACCACTTTAATTTTTTTAATATTTTCATGAGATTTTATGTTAAATATGAATTGTCTGAGGATTTTATTTATAATAATTGCGTCATATGCAAAAAAAAATGTAATATATAATAAGTTTCACTTAAATGAAAAATCTAATTTATTAATTTTAATGCAAAGCCTGCAAATTTAGAAACTGAATTATAAATAAAATTAAAGTTTCAACTCTAAGAAATAATTTATATGATTACAATGCTTAACACTTTAATTTTTTAAACAATCTATTAGTAATGAAAGAATAATTTTCAAAGACACATTACACATAGCGCTATATCGGTAATGATATAATCAAGTTATAGGAATGAAATGTCAACGAGGTATGTATTTATTTAAGGATTTTTACTTCTTTATGTTTTAAAGTTCTATGGACCGCACCAGAAGGATGTATCTATCATGACACCGGCAAGTGGTAGAAGTGGATGCCCACGAAGAGGAATCCCTGACGCCGAACCATTTCCTCATAGGGAGATCCTGCGGGGCGCCAGCGATAGGGGCGTTCTCTGAAGACGAGATCAAGGGCAGGATTTGGAAAGCGGCAGAACATTTGGCGGACCACTTCTGGACGAGGTGGATGAAGGAGTACCTTCCTACTCTAATTCCTCGACGGAGGAGGAGGCGCCGACATGCCAGATCTACAGTGCGGGGACGTGGTCGTCATCGTGGACTCCGCGCTGCCAAGGAACTCATGGCCGCGGGGAGAAGTGATGACGGTCTACCCAGGTCCCGACGGGCGCACCGCCACTGGCCTTCTGAAGAGACCTAGCTCCAAAGTTGTACGTCTGGTGAGCCGACCGCTGGGAGCGATAGAGTCAGTCAACAACACGCCTTCGTCGAGTCAACATCAAGTTATCAAGGAGAATATTATGGATAACCGCAAGATTACAAATGCAATTAGGGACCACGTGGTCATAATAGGGCCCTGTGATTCTGCTGACTTCGTATTACAAATTCTGTAGTTTTACTTAACGACCGTGTAAGTTTCGCCGAATCGAACTCTGATCCCAAGGGATGGATTACCGGCCACCGCTTCGGAGGAAATCAATCGAAGATCCAACCCACCCTACAAGCGGCGGGTTGTTTCAGTGATGGCTAACTAATTATCTCAGGCATAACGGCGCTCCGGTCCCGGACCGCAGACCCCCGGCCGCAACAGTTGGTCGTTCGAGCTGGATCTGGGCGGTGTCGAAGTGTCTGTAGCCCACGTCTACAGCTTGCATCACCACGTCCCTCAGCTGCTTGTTGATGGACTTCATCTTGCCGTTCTCGTCGTGCCCCAAGTAAGTCCCCAGAGCAATAGCGGGCATCTCATTTCCGTTATTGAGTTTGTATTTCGGAACATTTGCGGCGGCGAGGGTCAACATCGAAAATATGATGAATCCTATTATCCTGGGGTTAGCCATTTTGTGTTGTTGACCCACCGCCCAGATCCAGCTCGAACGACCAGCTGTTGCGGCAGGGGGTCTGCGGTCCGGGACCGGAGCGCCGTTATGCCTGAGATAATTAGTTAGCCATCACTGAAACAACCCGCCGCTTGTAGGGTGGGTTGGATCTTCGATTGATTTCCTCCGAAGCGGTGACCGGTAATCCATCCCTTGGGATCAGAGTTCGATTCGGCGAAACTTACACGGTCGTTAAGTAAAACTACAGAATTTGTAATACGAAGTCAGCAGAATCACAGGGCCCTATTATGACCACGTGGTCCCTAATTGCATTTGTAATCTTGCGGTTATCCATAATATTCTCCTTGATAACTTGATGTTGACTCGACGAAGGCGTGTTGTTGACTGACTCTATCACTCCCAATGGTCGTCTTTTATATGCGCGGCGTGCCCGTGCGCATCCCTTAATGAGAGCCGCTGCGAGTCTATCTAAATCAGTGACACGCCCCGCTCACTTTCGTTATGTTTTGTGACTCTACTGTCGTTTTTTTATTATTTCTCAAGTTCACTGTATATGAATATGACTTTACAAAAATACAATCTAGTCATACTAAATATAACTTAAATCTATTTTGCACTTCGAATATGTACTTGTCGCAAAATCGTCTTATCTTTTATTTCTCTACATAAATAACATGATCTCTATATAACTATAAGTTTTGGTTTAAAGGATTATTTGGCTTCGTCGCCGACAAAGGCCATTAATTTTTGGTACAAAATCGCAGTGTAGTTATGGTCTTTGATTTTGTATAATACATGATTATTTCTTTAACATCTCAATGCATTTGAAAAATGTCCAAAATATTATTTTGAATCGAAATTCTAAATCATTATGATGAAATGATAAACCTCTTAAAATGTAATTGACAGTACACATTATAAAATTTCTTCATTGTCAATATCTGATCCTTTTTTTAATTCAAACATAGTGGTCTTTAGACCTTCACATTTAGAATGTCAATTCATTTTCGATGATTTGTATTACCTTTTAATTCGAATAATTAACAGTAAAATGCGACTCTCCGCTTCACAATCAAAGCTCGGTATGAAAACATATTTTATTAGGATTGTATTTAAATAATTTATGATATTAGGTAAAGATTTAGAAGGTTTTTTCTTCTAAAAATTATCTATTATTTAGCAATGGAATGAATGGAGCCAACCTCTGTAGTTATTCTTATACTTTTATTATAAAATTATTATTAAAGCATTGCATTTACTTCATTATAAAGGATAACCGGAAAACTTGGACCTTGTTTCTACTGATTATTTCTTGTTTGCTAATTAAAAAGATTAATTAAGTTTATGTCACATTGCTAATCGAGCAGACATAACTAATATATGACTTCATGAGTTACATCTTCAAAATCAAACAAGAACAAATTTAGGATAGTATGTATAGGTGGTAGAGACTAGCTGCGGTCAAGTGATTACAGCTCGAACATGGGCTGGCTCGACCGGGGAAGTACCACCCTCTCACAGAAGATTGGCGTGAAGTAGCCTTAGTGGCTGCGTTTCGTCCGATGAGTGAGAGAGCCGGTTGCTATTTCCCTTTTCCCATCCTTTCCTACCCCTTCCCTTTTTCCTCCTTTTCCCATTTTTCCTCCCCCTCTTCCCAAATCAAGGGCGGTGACACATCCGCAACATGTCTTATGTCACGGATGTCCATGGGCGACGGTACTACCTCCACCAGGTAGGCCGTCTGCTCGTTTGCCCCCTTTAACATAAAAAAAAAATATAAAATTAATTCTCAAATTTTAAAGATTAATCTTATTGAATAAAATTCAACATAAAGTGTTCATTATAGCAGACAATCAATAACAAGGACAATTTATAGTGCTTTTTATTTTATTAGTATTGCATTGTTTTCTACTAAATAGATCATTGTATTTGTTCACAGAATCTTTGTACAATATTATGGGGAACTTCATTATAAACAGACTAATTTCCTACTAAGATGACACTTAATTAACTTTTGTATTTATGAAAGTTTTAAAAGCCAATGAATACAATATAATATGTAGAAGAAGCTTGAAAAGTTAAGAAAACATCTTTTTACTTTATTGTAAAATATACATAATATTACGTGATTGTAAAAAGTTCAGTCATATATATGTTCTATTTGTACGTAATCTTTTTATGAATATATGTAATACAAATATCTATAATATACAAAATATAAAGTATATGTCGGAGATACGGAACCGTCACGACCATCGTCAGACATTAGAATTTCATATTATAAAGAAAGGTTATAGAGAAGAGAAGATAAAAATATCCTACATAAAACCGTGCAGAGTGCTTGAATAAACACAATGTTCATATATTGAATTACTGTAATAAATCAGGATCAGGAAGTAATAAGTAGTTCGCACCAGCCAGATTTCCTTCTTACAGGTAAATGTGGAGTGGAATGAAAAGTCATCGACCTCTATGACTGAAAGTTTTTATAATTTAATCATCGTAAGTAGTCTATAAAACGGTATTCAAACATTATTTATGTTTTTGAATAAGATTTCTATCTAAAATTAAAACACTTTCTCCGTGTAAAGTGTCAAATATATTATGGCAATATCGAAGGGGTAGATTTCAAAGATATTTTCCCTTATTATATTTTGCTTCTGAACATGATCAAACTTTGTATGGTGCAAAACTGCAATATACCTATCTTATCGAGAAAAGTGTTTCAAAATATTACAAGTATTGACAAATAAGATCAAAAGTTGTGTTCTCAATTAAGAATTAGGTCTTTCTTGAAATTAGTTAAGCACCTGAACAAAGGGAATTAAAAGGTAATTAATTAATTTTTACTTAATTACAGTGATATCTTATTACTGTGATTAGAAACAATTGTGTACCTTATTTGGAAACATTAACAATTTTCAAAATGCTTGTTTCCAAAATAAAATATAATTAAGGACAATTAGAGTAATAATTATAAATCTGAAAAGCAATAGTACATATATGTATAACTCTATGACTATATGACGTAAGTCACATTATATTGTTTAATATAAACATGGTCAACATCATTGGTCCAGATCAGCAGCCAAGTCGAGCAGTCGGCGAGCGTGGTAGTACTCGACCCGGGACGAGTTCAAGTCGCCGACACGTGCGGGGTTCACGGGTTGGAAGACGGTCACGTCAAGAACAAGAACTACAAGAGCCCACAACCCTGGAACATCTGGAGTATTTGGCACACAGAGCTGTGAGAGTCATGGAAAAACATTCGCCTCCCTCGCGGTGTAACTTCGAAAAAGTTATGGACCTTTTAAGACAAAAACACAATATGGTATGATTGTCTTAATGTTTTAATAAGTTGGTGTTTTACTTTAATGTTAAACTAATAATTGATTTTTCTAATTTCAGAACTTTCTCATGCTGTGTCCCAAATGTTACGGATCCCATATGTATGATGAAATAGTAGCCCCTGAAAGATGACTTAGACATGGAATTTATTTCTGGTAATATCTTTGGCACTCCTTAAGTCCTCGTTTTCGCCAAAAAAGAAAAAACCTTTTATACGCTATATATCACTTCTATAACATATATGTACCTCATATTACTCCACAGATTAATTAAGGAATGGAGGCATTATTTATTTGGTTTCTGTTATTATTATGTATTTCAATGGTTTGGAAATGGGCCTGATAGTTTATATATGTATATGAGTATTAGGATAATTGTATAATATTAGATAATATAATATCATAGATTTATTATTATAATTAGATAATAATATCTCTTTGATAATATGGTGAAGGTAAGGTTGATGAAACAATTGATTTATGTGAAAAATAATTATAAAATTAACAATAAAGTAACTTATAACATTAAAAAAAATTAAGAGAAACAATGAACTCATACCTTGAGGTTCTAATTGTCTATAAAGTATAACGTTGGATTTACATTATAAATTTTCTAACAGCACTTGAACATAAACAAGACTTGAAATATAATAAAAACAACAGATTCCAGTGAATCTGAAATCGAAAAGTGAGTGAAATAAAAATTTATACTTATCACCTGTTTATTAGATTCGCATACAATGAGATTTCTTTGTTATTTGTACGTTTGTATTAATTTTACATATTTTATTTGCTAAGAGCCTAGTTTAAACGTATTGAAATATTGAAAAAAAAGTCTTCTTAAAAACTTTTTCTAGAAGATTGTTTAATGTAAAATATTTAAAATGCAAAATGTTTTTCTGATTGTAACGGGTTGGCTAAAGATGGCTCGGTCTTTTGTGTCCAAACAGTTGGAATGCTAAACATTTTCTAAAACATATAACTACAATTATGCTTTGTTTGTTGATGACGCAGGGAAACTCTTTTTACGAGCCGTCCAACCGTCCTTGGTAGGGCTGGAAGGGATGTGTGAGGCTCGGCCTGGGCAGGCCCCTACTTACTTAAACCACTGCGAAAGCCATCCGGAGCCGGGTTACCACGCCGACCACAGCCCGGAACACAGGGGTGCTATTGAAGGCGTTGGAATCGCTTCCCTCTCACCGCCGTACGTCGTCTGCTGCACCTGTAATAATAATTCTAATTAACTTTTACAATCTTTAAACAATATTGGAGTAAATATTTAGAAATAATTAAAAAAATCATTCAAAGACGCGATTTTTAATAATGGGTGGTAAAATTAAATTTTATATATTTTTATGAGAAATAATTATGATATGAAAGAGTTGTTGCTTTCTTGAACAAGATAGTAGTGTTTCAGCTTCTAAATTGTTAGTTTCAGTTACAAAACATGCTCCTTGGAGACATAGCTGCCCGTTGCAGTAAAAACATTGTTATTTCCTGCTACACGTATCCATTCAAGTTAAATAGAATGTGAACACAAATTTTAATTGGATAACACATTCTGGGATATATTTCTAATTCTATTTTGAATATTTCGTGCATGAACTTTCTTATTTCACTGGAGTTAAGCATCCGGGATAATTTATTTTATTAACAACTAATTAAAAACAATTCATTTGCTTAAACATCCTTTATTTTTCTCAACTTTGAATTATTACTTAATAAGTCATTTTTCCGATTTAGAATCTGTTTACTGAAAAACAATCGTTTTTGAACTTCATTAACACCAGTTTCTCAAACGATATTAATTTACGTTTCTTTTCAGGGGATTAAAACATTTATTGAGTATATTTTAATAACGGATACCTTTTTATTTTTAATGTAACATAAAGTGAATGTAAATTACTGTTTGTTCTCGTACTAATTATCTTTATAAATACAATTTATGAACTAAAATATTAACTTTTAATATTTTAAACTTTAACTAAAACAATGTGACTTAATATCAGGTGTGTACTTTCAGACAAACTTCCCGATAGGTCATCGATGCATTGATCAGTAATAAACAATTTTAAGAGCCAACGATGTCCAATTAGCTATTACTAGGATGCTGTGAATAGACCTGATTTTGGCGTTGGTTCAGGGAGTACTGATAACAACTGACGCAAACTAAGAAGTATTTAGGAGGTGGAACAGCGTAACTTTGGTAAAATTACTATAGCTCGAAAATGGTATGTCCCGATAGAGGAAGTACCACAACACTCATAGAAGATCGGCGTTAACTATTTTTTTAATGGCTGCGTTTTGTCTGATGAGTGAGAGAGCCAGTTGCCCTCTCCCTATTCCTTTGCCCTTTCCATTTTAACATTTTTTCTTATCCCTTTTCCACAATCAAGGTCGGCAATACATCACCGTCTTTTTTCATTTTGGCAAAGTCCATGAGCGACGATGACTGCCTTCCATCAAGTAGCCCGTCTCCTCGGTCACCATCTTTGACATAAAAAGAAGTTTATAATATTATTGTGATCTATATATTTCTTACTAAATTGACACTTAAATGGTAATGAAACATAATTATCATTCATCGAAGCAGGAGTATATATGACATTATTATAATTATATTAACTTTTAAGTAAGCCACATTATATTGGTTAATGTACACGTGGATAATATTAGGAGTCAGGTCGCGCAGTCGACGAGGGTGGTGATGCTAGTCAAGGGACAAAGTAACTTGACTGGTTGGTGGTGGTGGTATTTACGATCAACTGTGGGGTCCGACGCTAAGAGGGACAAGACGAGAGGAAAAGCTCGTGATAGAATCCAAACAATTGAAATATCTGGATTTTCTGTCACTCAGAACGTTGAACGTTCCTATGGAAAAATATTCACCTTCATTGTCATAATATCACATAGAAAAATTGAGCATGTAATTTATTTTGTTCACAATTAGTTTATGTCATGTCTTCCTTCTAAAATATGTATCAAAGATTTGCTTGAAACGAGGAGAATAGTGGTCTAAATAAGTAAAAGAAACATAGACAATATTGGTAAGCGCGTGTAGTTTTTTCTAGAAGTTTAATAATTTAATAAATATTGAAATACAGTATTACTTATCACTGAGAGCAAATAGTTTTAAACAGGCAGTATTTTGATATTAAAGCATAAGCATAATTTTATATAATTGTCTTTAATCGACATGAAAGATATACAAATTAAACGGGCAAAAGTTAATAACTTGTCGCTTTAAATATTAATAGTAGTCATCATTATGTTGTATTTGGTTAATTCTGTTTTTTATTTTATCCATCTCATAATAAGACTCGTTAGCTCAGTAGGTTAGAGCGCCGATATACAAATTTACTTGACCATCGGAGGGCGGAGGTTCAAATCCTTCACGAGTCAATAACTTAGAACATCTTTTTCTCATTCGACATTTTTTGAACATTTTTATAGCAAGTTTCATTCGTTTTGCTTATTGAAGGTCCAACATTTGTTTTAACAATTTAATTTTATAAACATAAAAGAATATGTTAAAACAGTACACATATAATTACTACAATGTCATATGTCAGTACACATATAATTAATACTTTTAACATTTTATTTTTGTGACCGTAATTAGAATATACGTATAAAATGACATATCTTTTAAGTTTTTAGTTTTTATCTTTTGAGACATGTACGATAGATCGCGATGCTGCAATTAAAAATTTTATAATTTTTTTTAATTAATTTTAGTTTATTATCTTTTTCACTGGGCCAGAATGGAACTCTTGAACCAATTTATAATACCAGATGACAGACGCATTACGTACCTATACCATGAATAACGTTTGATTACAAGCAACAAGTTACTTATAGTATATTCAATAATGAAATGACTGAAGGTACTACAACATTAATCAACTCTCATATGAACGTAGTCAAAACCTAAGTAAATGGCGTTGCGTTTCGATGATAATATTTTAATGCTATTTGTAAAAAAGAAAAATAGGAAACGTCATGAAATATATTTTCCGAAAATATACTCGTATCTGTTGAGTTTAGTCATGTTTTCTTTTCGTCATTCAACAATTTATGTTAATACTATGTATGTTGTGGAACGGTCAGAAATGACAAACTGTGAAGGCTCGAAATACAGTGAAGAAAACCATACTGATATCTAAAAGTAATGTTTGAAGCAAGAATTACACAACTTTTTTTAAATGAATAGGACCTTCATGGAATACTATAATATAACTCATAGTATTTGGTTGTGGTTTGATTTATTGTTATTCATAGAAACGGGAATATTAATTCAGGTACGGATAAATTAAAAAAAATAATAGAAACGAAAAAAAGAAAAATTGTCTCGTCATATTGAAATCATTGATAATTCTATATCAGGCATAATCTAATCTGTATATAATTGCTGCACAAAGAGGCAGCACTTAATAATTCATGACTATTGAATTACTTAGGTATTCAAGTTGATGTCACTTGTGGGAATTAATCATTACTTTAGTCATTATTTAATAATCGTTATTTAATCGTTAGCTCATTGGTTGGTTGGTTGTTGGTTGGTTGATATAACTTGGAAAATCGGAGGGTGGAGGTTCAAATCCTTCGTGAGTCAATTTTTACCTTGTTTTTATTTACCTCTTATACGTTAAAGTTAAAGATAATAAGAACTTCAGAACTAAATTAAAAATTAGAGTATGACGTCATTACCAAAGCGGAATATTTTGTAATTCTAATATACTTGGTATTAGGATGTTAAATATAAACTTAAAAATCTCAATCTGAACAATCTTATAAACGTACTTATCAAAATGACAGTAATTGTCGACTGAATAATTTAATACAAGAATGTATAATAATATATTAAAGTACATTAAATACTCTTGAACAAGTGAGCAAGCATAAAAGTTTTCTCTGTTTGAAGCTCCTCTTACTTAACATACTCCTTAAAGACATTGTTGGTGGCTGCAGTCTAAATAGGTTTAAGCACTGTTAGGCGTTTACAATAGAATTAACGAGGATTCAATTTAATGGCATTTTTAACCTAAACTTCAGACATATATTGGGTATTAATTTTTTTGCAGTCATTCTGGTACAACTTCTTATTGTTTTGAATATCATCTAATGATAAAGATTTGAGTGAAAGATGGGATAATTTCGGTAATAATAAACGTAAATAAGGTATTTATAAATATTTTAGTGGTTCTAAAATCTTTTTGTAAATTGTAAAACGATTTTTTTAATGTTTTAAAGTTTTATAGACAGCAACAAAATCACGTATTCGTACCTTCCATAACGGCATATGATTCTCATGGAGAAACTTTTATATCAGTCACCTTATAAATTCCATATCTAAAACCATTTAATTTCTGCGACAACATTGCGGTGTAGTTATGATCTTTGATTTTGTGTAATTCATGATTATTCCTTAAGTATCTCAATTCATTTGAAAAATATCCAAAATATAATTTTGAATCGCTATTTTAAATCATTACGATGTAACGATTAAACCTCTTGAAACGTTATTGACAGTACACGTTATAACATTTCTTTTTTATCAATATCTGATTGTTTTTTGTACAATTCAACCATGGGAGTCATTAGACCTTCATATTTAGAACGTCAATTCATTTTCGATGGTTTCTATTCCTTTTTATTTCGAATTTTTTACAATCAATGCGACACTCTGCTTCACAATTAAAACTCGGTATGAAGACATCGTTTATTACATATCTATTAAAATAATAAATGGTATTGTAAAGTTATCTATTAATTTTGAAGGAAATAAATAAATATATTACAATAAATAAATAAATAAATGAACCTCTGTTTTTAATTTTACTATTTTACAATTTTTTACTGTTTTCTTTTTATTAGATCAATGTCTTTGTTCACAGAATCTTTGTTGAATATTATTGTGAACATCATTATAAACAGACTTATTTCCTGTTTGGGAGACCCTTAATTAACTTTTGCGTTTATCAAAGTTTTAAAGGGCAAGGAACACAATATAAAACTTTTATCAATATGTGTTTTATACTTATACAGTTAACATTCCGATAGTTTTAACTAAGATTGCAAACTACTTATTCAAGCTCTGTTTAGAAGTTCATAAGATAAAAATAATAATTTCTGTCTAAGTAATTTGTCGAGTGAAGGATAATTACTTGTAAAATCAGCTATAGTAAAAAGTTCATAGTCATTTATATGTTTGCTTTTAAACTATTCGTGAACATGTAAAAGTCATCGGAAGTTTTAATTGAGTAGTTGTTATCAATGGTAAAGTTATTCCCATTTAATGTTTATTAACGAATATACATATATCATTTATTCGATGAATGTAACTTAGGCAGCTTCAAAAAATATGTTTAACATTCGTGTATAACACTTTGATCTCGCTCTGTCTATAAAATAGGATAATGATTTTTTTATTTGCTCAGTATTCATAGTTATTGCATAGTTAAAGACATCATTTGTAATAAATGAAAATAAAAAATTCTTAATTTTCGCTGTTATGTAGTGGCAAACATTGTAGGTATTTAGTATTTTGTATGATAGAAGAAAAGATACAGAAAAGAGGAAATAATTTTTTTCACTTGTGTACACAGAGAAGAATAATATCTTACATAATACTGTGAATAGAGCTTGAATAAATACAATACTCGTATATTGAATTACTGTTATAAACCAGGATCAGGAAGTAATAAATAGTTCGCACCAGCCGGATTTCCTTCTTACAGGTAAATGTGGAGTAGAATGAAAGGTCATCGACCTCTATGACTGAAAGTTTTTATAATTTAACATTCTTAAGAAATGTATAATTTGCTTTTTAAATAAGATTTGTATCTTTTATATCTTCTTCTTCTATCTAAATATAACACAAGAACACAATCTTTAACCCGGAGGGGTATAAGGTATAGGAAGAGTTAGTTTTCAAAGATATTTTTCCTTATTTTTTTTTTGCTTCTGAACTGGATTAAACTTTACATGGTGCAAAAGTGATATATACCTTATCGAGAATAGCGTTTCAAATATTACGTGTGATGACAAATAAGATTAAAAGATATGTTCTCAATTAAGAAATAGGTCTCTCTTGAAATAAGTTAAGTACTCGACCAGGGACGAGTTCAAGTCGCCGACACGTGTGGGGTCCACGGGTTGGAATACGGTCACGTCAAGAACAAGAACTACAAATGCCCACAAACCTGGAACATGTGGACTATTTGGCACACAGGGCTGTGAGAGCCATGGAAAAACATTCGTCTCCCTCGCGGTGTAACTTCGAGAAAGCTATGGACCTTTTAAGACAAAAACACAATATGGTATGGTTGTTTTGGTGTAATTGTAAGTTGGTGTTTTACTTTAATGTTAAACTAATAATTAATTTTTCTAATTTCAGAACTTTCTCATGCTGTGTCCCAAATGTCACGGATCGCATATGTATGATGAAATAGTAGCCCCTGAAAGATGACTTAGTCAGAGAATTTATTGTGTCTACATTTTTTAGGGTAAGAATAATTTTAAAATTATTTTATTTTTTCTAGTAATATCTTTGGCTCTCCTTCAATCCTCGTTTTGTCAAAAAAATAAACTTTTATACGCTTTATATTACTAAAACAAAGTGTTCATACTGCTCCACAAATTAATTAAGGAACGGAAGCATTATTTATTTGGATTCTTTATATGATTTGGAAATGGACTTGATAGTTCATATCATCATTGTATAATTATTAATAGAAATTAGTATTATTATAAAATATTGTGTAGTTAAGGTTGATAAAACAGTTGATTTATAGCAGAAGTAATTATAAAGAAAACAATAAATTAACTTTTAATAAAATAAATTGTTTATTTTTTAAGAGAAACAATAAAGTCATACCTTCTTGTACCAATTGTCTGTAAAGTATGGCGTTGGATTTACGTTGTAAGTTTTATAACAGCACTCAAACAAAAACAACACTTGATATACAATAAAAACAACAGATTCCAGTGAATCGAGTGAAATAAAAAGTTATACATATCACCTGTTTATTAGATTCGCATATAATGAGATTTCTTTGTTCCTTTTTATTGAGCTCAAATATTTTAATTGCTACGAGGGAAGATTGAAACGTATTAAAATATAGAAAACGACAGTGTACTTATAAACTTATTTCAGGAGATCTATTAATGTAACATATTTCAAATGCCAAATGATTGTCTGATATATAATGTGTTTGCCGGATCTGTCTCAGTCTTTCATATGTATGTATTCAAACAGTCGGAACGGTAAAAAATGTCTTAAAAAAACATATCAACAATTAATGAGATCTACGATTTTCGCGAATATTCATTTAAATGAAACTAATATTTTTGGATTTACCACGAGATTTTTATTTTTGATTATGAACTACATACTCCCGACGTTTCGGTTACTTTACAGTAACCGTGATCACGGGCAGATGAGATGTGAGTGTCTGTCTGTCGGTCTTATTATTTTATCATCAACCGCCATCGATTTCTTAATTTGGGTTATTTTAAAATGGGGTAAAAAACTACAACATGCTATAGTGCATATTTAAAATGATAGTATATATTAAATATTTATGCTTCTGCCTTCAAATCATATTTTATTTTTTCAAGAGCTCAAGAGATAAGAGATTAATAATAATTAATTACTATAATTAATTATTTGTACCTATTCAATATGATCCCTTTTGTGTAAATTTTAACAATGTTATAATAAGACTCGTTAGCTCAGTAAGTTAGAGCGTCGATATACAAATTTAAATGACCATCGGAGGGCGGAGGTTCAAATCCTTCACGAGTCAAAACTTTCTACTCTTTTAATTTTACCTATTATTTACAAAAAATAAAAACTGATTTAAAACTGCAATTCTTTTGGAATTTACTATTAGCGTTTTTTAGCAAAAATTTCTTAACACTAATAGAAGAATGTTGTTAAAATAATAGAACAGTGAGACATATAGTAATTCTTATAATTCTTATGGACTTTTGAGACCTCTAAACGGTATTGGAGTAAATATTTAGTAATAATTAAAACAAAATCAAAATTCAAATGCTCGATTTTTAATAATTTGTCGTAACTTAAATTTTGAAACATAGTCTTTCAAAATTGTATATATTATTATAAATAATTATGATGTGAATGAGTATATTGTTGCTTTCTTGAACAAGATAGTAGTGTTTAAGCTTCTAAACTGTTAGCTTCAGTTACAAAATATGCTTCCTAAACATTGCTATTTACTGTTAAAGGTAACCATTCAAGTTAAGTAGAATGAGAATACAGATTATAATTTGATATCGAATTTAACATATGGATTTATTTATCATATTTCTAAGTTTACACAGAACATTAGTGGATGAACTTTCTTATTTTACTGGAGTAAGGTATCCGGGATGATTAATTTTATTAATAACTAATTCAAAACAACTCCACAATTCCACATTTATTTAATTTTCTTTTTCTATTTAAGATGTTGCATACTTTAAGGGTGCCTGTGAACATTATCACTTTGCTTGTTACAAGACGCTTATTGGTCTACTAGTTGTGCCCGCGACTTCGTTCGCGAGGAATAGTGACTATGAGCAGCGGTTTTTTTAAAAATATATACTTATTTTTATTTTGGATCATAATCACAGTCATTTTAAGTATAAGTATAGAAGCATAGAATAGCAGCATAGTATAAGCATGGAATAGTGTTCGACGTGATTCTTTAATTTGAAATAACTTTTTTATTTATGAACCGATTGACATGAATCAAACATTAAAGCATAACTGAAGCATACCACAATATATTCGTGAAAACCGCATTCAACTCGGATAAGCCGTTTCTGAGATTAGCGTGAACAGACAAACAGACAAAAAAAAGTTACTTACATTTTTGGGTTCGACATCGACATAACAATAACCCCTGCTATTTTTTTTATTTTTATTTTCAATGTACAGACAGCACTTTTCTACAATTTTATTATATGTATGGATTTTGAGATGATATTCTTTTAAAAGTTTAGTGGTAACATACTTAAAGAAGTTAATAGTGAGTAGCAGTCTTGTTATATTAATATTTTTATTTAGTCTTGTTATACTAATATTATTTTATCAGTATAAGTATGTTGGATGGAAAAAGAAGGTATACTTTAACAAATATTAAATATAGTATTACATTTATCGCTCTTTTGATATCGCTCTTTTATAATATTACTTTTCTTTAAATAAAAAAAAAAAATAAAATAAAAAAATAAATTTATAAAATATAAGAAAACAGATCAAACAGGTTTAAACCTATAACAGTCTCAATACAGATAAAATGTGAAAAATTTTGTTCGGTGATTTCATTTGCAGTTGTTCTTAGATATCGAACTAACAACCTATTGATTAAAGTAAAAAGAGAAAAATTGTTTGATCAAGGTGAAATACTCGTAACATTGACACTTGTATGTTAGTCACAATCTAATCGGTTTATAAGTGCTGCACAAAGAGGATGCACTTAATCATTCAACACTATTTAACTACGTAGCTATTAAATTTGACGTCATTTGTGGATATTTATTACTATTTTATCCATTTTACAGTAAGACTCGTTAGCTCAATAGGTTAGGGCGCCGACATAACTTGGGAAATCGGAGGGTGGAGGTTCAAATCCTTCGCGAGTCAATTTTTCCCCTTGTTTTTTTAAATTCTTATACGTAATAATTAAAAATATTATGAAATTCAGAAATATGTTAGATAGTCATATTTAAAGAGGGATATTATATCTTTACAATTTGCTTGTTGCTATTATGTTAATCATGAAGACAAAATGTAAATTAGCAAATGTTAAGTAACTCAATAAATACTGAATGGTTATAACACTTCTCTATTAAACTGAAAAACAATTATTTAAAACGTATTTACGTAAATTATTTTAATTGTTTTTAATTAATTCAAGTGGAATAATCAGGAAAGCATATATAAGCATTTGTAAAAGAGTTTTGGATCAATTTTCTTTGTGCCTAATTAAGTGTGTGTATTAATTAAGTGATACGTCCTTTTTTTATGTTAAAGGGGGCAACCGAGCAGACGGCCTACCTGATGGAGGTAGTACCGTCGCCCATAGACATCCGCGACATAAGATATGTTGCGGATGTGTCACTACCCTTGATGTCCGAAGAGGGGGAGGAAAAATGGGAAGGGTTGAAAAAAGGGAAGGGGTAGGAAAGGATGGGAAAAGGGAAAGGGCAACCGGCTCTCTCACTCATCGGACGAAACGCAGCCACTAAGGCTACTTCACGCCGATCTTCTGTTAGAGGGTGGTACTTTCCCGGTCGAGCCAGGCCATGTTCGAGCTGCAATCACTTGACCACAGCTAGGCTCTACAACCTATAAAACTTACCATGATACTGCCCTAACTCTTTGTATAGAGTCACAGAATGCTCTGTTATGTATCTTTGTTGATTCAAAGGAAAAGCCGAAGAGTTCGTTACACTCGTTTTAATTTATTATTAATGTAACTCGTACACCAGAACCAAAAGGACAAATTTATGGTAAAATTCCTTAGTTCCCGAATGAATAAGACATGGCATTTGTATTTTGTATATTTGTGAACGTTTGTTACACAGCTTATAGAAGATATTTACGTAACAAGAAAAAAAAACATATAAACAACAACAAAAATATCTTTATATATCGTACATTAACGTAATATAATACATAGTTATAAATAAAATACTATTACTCGTTTCTTAAAGATTTAGTAAGAGATTTCGTCTTAAACAATGATTTATGTTAATATTTTCATATATGAAACGAAATCTCTCAGCATTCTAAGCTTCTAGAATTCTATATTTTAACTGAAAACATATGTTATTTTTATAACATAAGCTTTGTTCACCTACTTGTATGTATAACTGACATTAATTATCGACTGAATAATTAAATACAATATAATACAATTACAATATAATAGAGTACATTAAAAACTCTTAATTAAGAAATCAATTATAAAGGGTTGTGCAGTTTGAATCTCCTCTTACCAAACATATGTACTTCCTGAAGAAATTGTTAGCGGCTGAAGTCTAAGCGTTTATAATTTATTTAACGAGAATTCAATTTAAGGGCATTTTAAACGTCAACTTCAGTTATATATGTTGTGTATTATATTTTTAAGAGTTATTCTGTTCAGCTTGTTGTTTCGAATGTCATCTAATGATGAAGAATTGTTTGTTAAGTTTGTATAATAGTTAAAAAAAAAAGTCAATATGATAGTACTTTGAAAACCTTTTTGTCGTTATTTTCCTTGTAGGGAATCTGTTAATGTTAAATGAATTTTGATTGAATCTCATGAAATTTGGCTTCACAATGATGTCTATTTTCGCTTCCTTTCTCCGACGGGATACTTATAGTTCATTTTGACTTTTGAATCTGTATTCCTTTTGTGTTCTGATAAACTAAATTAAAGACTTATTTTAAATAAGGTTATTAATCTTATTTAAAATCATCGATTTTTAAAAAGAAAAATAAGTTCTTTAATGGTATGACTTGACTTGTAGTTATATGACTAATTGAGTTAGAGGGACGGCAATGTCCGGTTTTCTATTATGACCGTGCAGTGAATAGATTTGAAATTGACGTAGTGTATAGAGTACTCGAAACTAACGATACATTACTAGTGGAAGCAAACTAGTATAAATGGCATAACATTGTTATAAAAAACATATTTGATATAAAATTAAGACAAAAAAATATCCTATCACTTTATTTACTTACTACTGGTGGTGCATTTTTTACCTTCCCGTTTATTTTATAAAAATTCTTTCTGAAACATATTTACAAAGTCAAATCTACAAAGGAAATACAGATTAAACGAAGTGGGTTAAAAGTTAAATATTCATCTACTCTATAAAAATCTTGAAACTACTCGTACTTTAATTTTTTAAATGTTTTCATGTGTATTTTTATGTTAAATATGCATTGTTTGTAGATTTTATCTAAATATGACATTCGGTTAAAATATTTTTATATAAAAAATAAGTTTGAAGACAAAAATTTGGTAATTTAGACTCTGTATAGTAAATAAAATTATAGTTTCAACTTTGTGAAATGAAGTGTAAAGTGCGTTTAAGGTCTAAGGTGGTAGAGCCTAGCTGTGGTTAGTTACTACAGATCGAACATGGGCTGGCTCGACCGGGGAAGTACCACCCTCTCACAGAAGATCGGCGTGAAGTAGCCTTAAACGGCTGCGTTTCGTCCGATGAGTGAGAGAGCTGGCTGCCCTTTCCCTATTCCTACCCTTTCCTACCATTTCCTTATTCCCACCCCTCCCTATCCCTAAAAAACAAGGTTGGCAACGCATCCGCAACAAAGATGTTGCGAATGTCTATGGGCGACGGTGAACACCTTCTATCAAGTGGGCCGTCTGCTCGTTTGCCACCTGTCACATAAAAAAAAATCAATACATACAATGCTTAACATTTTCATTTTATGAAGAATCTATTAATCATCTATGAAAGAAATATTTTAAAAGACAGATTAAATATCGAACTAAATCAATAATAACATACAGAAAACATGCCTAACATAATGCCCTAAGATTCTTATGGAGAAACATTCGTATCAGTCTCCTTATCATACATGTCTAAGACCATCGACTTTCTACGACTAAATTACAGTGTGGTGATGGTATTTTTGTTTAATTCTTGATTATTTCTTTAATATCTAAATTCATTTGAAATATGTATTTATATTGGGATGTCCCAAATATAATTTTGAATCACAATTGTTCATGATACAGTGATAAACCTCTTAAAATGTAATTGACAGTACATATTATAAAATTTCTTTATTGTCAATGTCTGATCCTTTTCTTAATTCAACCATAGCAGTCTTTAGACCTTCATATTAAGAATGTTAATTCATCTTCGATGATTTGTATTTCTTTTTATTTCGAATGATTAACAATTAAATGTAACTCTCCGCTTCACAATCTAGGCTCGGTATGAAGACATATTTTATAAGGTTTCTATTCAAATAAATTATGATACTGTAAAGATTTAGAAGGTCTTCCTTCAAAAAATTAAGTTCTCTATTAGTCATCAAATTATTGAATGAAGTATATCATAATCAATACATCCGTAGTTAATTTAATAAATATATACTTCTTTCATAAAATTATTATTGAAGAACGGCTTTTATTTTATTATAAAGGATAACCTACAAACTTGGATCCTTCTTGTACTGATTATTACAGGTTTACTAAACAAAAGATTAACTAAATTAATGGATCGAGTAGACATTAGTGAATGAATCTGTAATTTTATTGTTTAATTATATTGAACAAAATTACAAAAAAAAAGTGTAAATTACAATAAACACTTCGTCATCAGCCTATCAGAGCCCACTATTGAGCAAAGGCCTCTTCTAACATGGAGAAGGTTAGAGCATTAATCACCACGCTTCCGGCTGGTGCAGATCCTCTCGGGGCACGGTTGCTTCGGGAGGTATTTGTGCCACATAGTCGGGAGAGAGCCGACAGCGACGTGTCACCACTGCAGTCGCGTGGAAGACACCGCTGACCACACCTTGATGGAATGTCCAGCGTGGATATCCGAGCGTAGCCAACTCATCCGCGTGGTTGGCGCAGACCTTTCGTTGCCGGCAGTGGTCCAGGCCATGGTCGGCAGCGAGAGGGCATGGCAGGCGGTGGCCGACTTCAGCGAGAGAGTCATCTTGCAGAAGGAGGCTGCTGAACGAGTGAGGGAAGACGACCCCTCCTCGGCGCCGCTGCGCCGACGAAGGCTGGGTCGAAGGCAGCGGGCTTATGCTCGCGACCTGCCTCCCCAGTGAGGAAGCCTCCGGGCGTCGGTGGGGAACCGGCGTCCGGGTAACATAGGCTAGAGGAAGAGCGGCGTGCTTGGCGTTCCCGGCACGCTGCTCTTGAGTCAGAGGGGTGGTGTGGTCAGCCACTGATACCCCTGCTGATGGCGGAGTCCCTTTCGGGACTCGTGCGTAGTGAGCGGAAGTATGGCTTGCCGTTCCCGCTCACTAGTCTACGCACAGCGCAGAGAACGTCGAGGTGGTTTAGTGGGTGGAAATCCCACATGCCCCTGTCGCGTTTCCCCCGCGGCAGGAAGTCTTTAAAAGATTCCCCTCGTAGGAAAAAAAAAAAATTAATCACCACGCTTGCTCAAGACGGGTTGGTGATTTCAAACTTATAATTGTGGAATTATAAGTCCAGGTTTCCTCACGATGTTTTCCTTCACCGTCTGTCAAGTATATTTATAGTGATTCTAATTTTTACTAGTATTGAACTGTTTTCCATAAAATAGATTATTATTTTTGTTCAATATTATGGTGAACTTCATTATAAGCCGAGTAATTTCCTGTTTAGAAGACCCTTAATTAACCTTTGTGTTTAAGAAAATTTTTAAAGGCAACGTACACAATATAAAACCTTTATCAATATGTAATTAATACTTTAGTAGTTAACAAGCCAATAGTTTTAACTAAAATTGCAAACTGCTTATTAAAACTCGTCATAGAAGTTCTCAAAGTACAAAATAATAATTTCTTCTTCAGTTATTTGTCTAGCGAAAGCAAATTATTAGAAAATCAGTGATTGTCACAAGTTCGTCGTCATTTAAATGTTCGCTTATAAAATATTTGTTTAATTTATATGAATCTGTATAATACGAGTACTTCTTCTTCTACCTGGAAATTTCCCAGCTTTAGCCAGGGTCTGCCTTACATATTGTTGTGAATAGTTTTGGCTAATTGTTTTTACGACCGGCCGCCTGCCTGACATCCACATTCGTTTGGGAATCGGCATTAATCAGTGATGTCTAAATAATCTAAGAAAGTATAAATAACTCGGAAAAATCACATTGGCACTTGCCCGGGCCAGGATTGAACCCGCACCCTCGTGCATGAGAGGCAGGCTTTGAAACTACTAGGCCACCACAGACTTGACTGACTAATACGAGTACTATAACAAAATATTTTAATTTGTAAAATTTAAATATATCTTATCGGAGTGTTTAAAATTTTTACTCGTAATGACAAATAAGATCAAAAGATATGTTCTATTTTAAGAATTCGGTCTTTTTTTTAATTAGCTAAGCACCCGAACAAAGGGATTTAAAAGGCAATTAATTAATTTATATTTAATTACACTAATATCTCATTGTTGTGATTAGAAACAATTGTGTTCGTAATTTGGACACATTAAAAAGTTTAAATATACTTATTTAAAAATAAGAGATCATTAAGAACATTTAGAGTAATAATTATCAATCTGAAAAGCAGTAGTATATAACTCTATGACTATATGAAGTAAGTCACATTATATCGTTTAGCGTAAACATGGTTAACATTATTGGTCCAGACCAGCAGCCAAGTCGCGCGGTCGGCGAGCGTGGTAGTACTCGACCAGGGACGAGCTCAAGTCGCCGACACGTGTGGGGTCCGCGGGTAGGAAGACGGTCACGTCAAGAACAAGAATTACAAGAGCCCACAAACCTGGGACATCTGGAGTACTTGGCACACAATGCTGTGAGAGCCATGGAAAAACATTCGCCTCCCTCGCGGTGTAACTTCGAGAAAGCTATGGACCTTTTAAGACAAAAACACAATATGGTATGGTTGCTTTGGTGTAATTGTAAGTTGGTGTTTTACTTTATTGTTAAACTAATAATTTATTTTTCTAATTTCAGAACTTTCTTATGCTGTGTCCCAAATGTCACGGATCTCATATGTATGAAGAAATAGTAGCCCCTGAAAGATGACTTAGACATAGAATTTATTGTGTCTACATTTTTTAGGGTAAGAACAACTTTAAAATTATTATATTTTTTCTAGTAATATCTTTGGCTCTCCTTTAATCCTGGTTTTGACCAAAAAAGAAAAAAATCTTCTATACGCTATATATCACTATAACATATTCCTCATATTGCTTCACAAATTAATTAAGGAATGGAAGCATTATTTATTTGGTTTCTATTATTATTATGTATTGCAATGATCTGGAAATGGATTTGATAGTTCATATCATCATTATTTAATTACTAATGTTAATTAGTATTATTATAAAATATCGTGACTTTTAAGGATGATAAAATACTTGATTTATAGCAGAAATAAATATAAAGAAAGCATTAAATTACTTATAATATAGGTAATAAATTGTTTATTTTTAAGAGAATCAATGAACTCACACCTTCTTGTACCAATTTTCTGTAATGTATGGCGTTGGATTAATGTTATAAGTTTTATAACAGCACTCAAACAAAAACAACACTGGAAATACAATAAAAATAACAGAATCGAGTGAAATAAAAAGTTATATTTATCACCTGTTTATTAGATTCGCATATAATGAGATTTCTTTGTTATTTGTTCCTTTTGATTAAGCTCAAATAATTTAATTACTAACAGCGAAGATTGAAACGTATTTATTTATTTATTTAAGATTTACCAGTGGTAAATACATCAATTTATACCAAGGTATACAATTTTTATACAACTTAAAACTAAATCATTACCTATTTAAGGTGAATACCACTTGCAAAAGATAAAGTTAGAGATGACAAGCTTTCAAATAATTAATTGTTAGTAAATTAAGGTGAAAAATGACAATGATTAACAATAATATTAAAACAATAACATACAAATATAAACAAAATAAATTAATTGAATGACAATTTTGACAATAATTTTTTGTGAAACTTGTTTGACGAGTCTCCAAAAGGGTCTAAAACAGCACTGTGTTCATTCAGTATTGAAATATAGAAAACGTCAGTGTACTTATAAACTTCTTTTAGGAGATTTATTAATGTAACATATTTTAAATGACAAATGTTTGTCTGATATATAACGTGTTTGCTGGATATGTCTCAGTCTTTCATATTCAACGGTTGGAACGGTAATCAATTTCATAAAAAAACATATCAATAAATAATTAATGAGATCATAAATTTTCGCGAGTATTCATTTAAATGAAACTATTATTTTTTTATTTACTACGCGATTTTTATTTTTGATTATAAATTACATACATACCCCCGACGTTTCGGTTACTTTACAGCAACCGTGATCACGGGCAGACCAGATGTGAGTGTCTGTTTGTCGGTCTTATTATTTTATCATCTACCGCAATCGATTTCTTAATTTTGGTTATTTTATAATGTAGTAAAAAAACTACAATATGCTATAGGGCATATTTAAAATGATAGTATGTATTAAATATTTATGCTTCTGCCTTCAAATCATATTTCATTTTTTCAAGAACTGAAGAGATGGATAAATAATTAATTACTATAATTAATTATTTATTGGTACCTATTCAACATGATCTCTTTTGTGTAAATTTTAACAATGTCATAACAAGACTCGTTAGCTCAGTAGGTTAGAGCGCCGATATACAAATTTACTTGACCATCGCGATCGGAGGGCGGAGGTTCAAATCCTTCACGAGTCAAAATTTTTACTATTTATTTTTACCTTTTATTTACAAAAATGAAAAACTGATTCAAAACTGTAATTCTTTTGGAATTTACTACTAAAGTTTTTGGCAACAAATTTCTTAACACTTATATTATAAGAATGTAGTTGAAATAATAGAACAGTGAGACATATACCTATAGTTCTTATGAACTTTTGAGACCTCTAAGCGATAGTGGAGTAAATATTTAGTATCTAATAATTAAAATAAAATCAAAATTCAAAAGCTCGATTTTTAATACTGGGTCCTAACTTAAATTTTAAAACATAGTCTTTCAAAATTTTATATATTATTATGAGAAATAATTATGATGTAAATGAGTATATTGTTGCTTTCTTGAACAAGATAGTAGAGTTCAAGCTTGTAAACTGTCAGATTCAGTTACAAAATATGCTTCCTAAATATAGTTATTTACTATTAAAGGCAAACATTCAAATTAATTATATTGAGAACACAGATTATAATTAGATATCGAATTTAACATATGGATTTATTTAACATATTTCTAAGTTTACACAGAACATTAGTGGATAAACTTTCTTATTTAACTGGAGTTAGGTATCCGGGATAATTTATTTTATTAATAACTAATTCACAACAACTCTAAATAAGGGATTTTGCTAAAACATTTTTTTTTTGGAAAAAGTCATTTTTCAGATTGAGAATCAGTTAGTTGATGTTCAGTTATTTGATGAAATAATCGTTCATTAACTTCACAGACTTAACCGGTTTCACAGCCGATTTTAATTTAACTTTCCCTTCAGAGGAGTTAAAATTTCATTGAATATATTTTGATACCCGATACCCTTTTATTCTGAATGCAAAATAAAGTGTGAGTACATTATTTTTTGTTATCTTACAAATAATCTTAATAAATATTTATGTACTTTACCAATAACTTTGAATAAATAAACCTTTAACGAAAACAACATTATGTGACTTAATATCTGGTGTATATTTTCATGCCAATGTCCCAATATTTTATCGATACATTGATCAGTAATTAACGATGTAACGAGCCAACGATGTTCAATTAGCTATTATGAGGATGCACCAGAAAGACCTAATTTTGGCTTTAGTTCCGGGGACACTCGTGATTTACAAATATCACTGCATTGACTCATACTAAGAAGTAGTAAGGAGGTGGTAGAGCGTTGCTGTGGTCGAGTTACTACAGCTCGAACACCATGCCTTTTCCATTTTCCCGTTCTTTTTTCTTCCTATTCCACAATTAAGGTTGACAACGAATCAACAACATTTCTTATGTTGGAGATGTCTATGGGCGACGGTGATTTCCTTTTATCAAGTAGACTGTGTTGTTCGGTAGCCATCTTTGACATAAAAAAGTATATAATGTTATTGTGATCCATACAATTCCGGATAAATTTACACTCAAATGGCAAAGAAAAATAATTATGAATGAAATATCTGGACTCGTTTAAAATCAATTCTCATTTTTAGATCCTTTAACTACGTAATTAAAAGCATTTATTTAATAACCGTAATTGTTTACTACCAAACATTAATAAAATAATATTTTACTGTTTTCTCTTTCGAGATATTAAATAACTTTAGAATGACTTGTCTTAAATATAAGGGATGAATAAGATCGATGAATAATTAATTGTAATTCATCAAAGCAGGAGTAGATGTGACATTAGTATAATTATAATAATTAAATCACATTATATTCGTTAATGCAAAAACGGAGAAATGTTCTCCTTCCTTGTCATAACACTTAGAAAAATTGAGCATAGAACAGTTGTACACAATCAGTTTATTATATAATTTTTTCCTTTATGTTTTTTTTGTATGTTGACGAGGAATGTATAATATTCCTGTATACAGTTTTCATATATTGTTTATTTAGATGACCGAATAGAATTCAACCACGCACATGCATAGATTTTTATAGTTTCTATTATTGCTTGACAATAAAGCAAAGAACTTTAATATGCTATAGTACATATTTAAATTACGTAGTATTTTCTATATTTATAATTCTGATTGCAAATCGTAAGACACATTGTTATAACTTCAGAGATGAAGGGACATGATTCATTTTATATAAATAATTATTGGTAGCTATTCAATATGATCTCTTTTTTGTGCATTTTGACAACTATAATAAGACTCGTTAGCTCAGTAGGTTAGAGCGCCGATATACAAATTTACTTGACTATTGGAGGACGGAGGTTCAAATCCTTCACGAGTCATTATCCTTTTATGTCTTATTTTCACAATAAACCACATTTTAACATTTTTATTGAAAGTTTATTTCGATTTTCTTATTGAATTAGAAACATTTTTTATTAACAATTTAATTACATGAACATCAACAGATACTTTAACACAGTACATGTATAAATGAAACTAATATACATATATTTTTTATTATTTTTAAAAACTGCATACATTTCCTTATCGGTTGCTTTCCAGCACCGCGATCACATGCAGGCAAGATATGAATGTCTGTCAGTTGGTCTCGTTGTTTATCATCTGATAAATTAGATAAATCACATGCATATTTCCTCTGCCCGTGATCACGGTTTTTATTACATACATCAAGTTATTTTTAGTATATTCAATAACGAAATGAATGAAGGTATTACAATATTAATCAACTGTCATAAGGACATAGTCGAAACTTATAGTATTTTAATCCAAAGGTGGATTCCATTGCATTTAAGTTATAGAAAGGCTTTAAGTACCTAAATTTTAACGTAAGAAATGATTACAGGAAATCCATTTCATTTTGTTTACTGCAACAAATGACAACAAAACAGAGTATGGTGGAAGGAGATTTAAAAGAATAAATTTAAATATACCTCATACGAGTATGTTGTTAGCAATTCCAATTTGATAATTGTCATTTATTTAAATACGACTTGCTGAAATACTGTCATTAGCAATTTGCTACTTTTCTATTATTTTGATGTTATGGGTGGCCAGCAAAGCATTTTAACAATCGCCTGCGTCTATGTTTCCTTAGAGTTATAATATTGATGTATGCAGGAAAGGGTGGATAGGTTGAAACTGATATAGTGCTTTTACCGACCGCGACTTTATTGCCACTTTCCAAACTATGAATGACAGTTAAGCAGTATTCAGTGCAAATTTAAAAAAGGGCGTCTTTTGGGACCTTTATCTCTTGATTGAGTAGAAAATTTAGCTTTTGGTTGAATAGAATTTAAATTTTAAATATATATATACGATTTAGAGCTCATTAAGGGATATGAAAAGAGAAAAAGTCACTAAATTTATGAACCATTAGCGTTCCCAGCT